TAAGACATAAACTCTATTGAAGGTCTGACTATATATTTATGGCTGTTATCCTGCTGCAGGGTGAACCTTCACTCTGGTCACAAATCTTTTTAAGTCTCTAACAGGTTTTTTTCAGCTACATAGTTTTTATTTTGCTACATCTATCTTTCCATCAGCTCTGAACAGCTTCCCTATCCCAGCCAATGAAAGGAATCAGAGTCAGCAGTATCGACCAATATTGTGTAAATAAGCAAGGGATTTGAGTTTACAGTGTAGATGCATTTAGTATGGATGTTTCCGTTTTTCTTTAAACAAAATAAACAATAAAAGGAATAGCATGTACTAATATGAATAGCTTTTAATTTTTTTTTTCATGTAAAAATAAATTAAAGCAGGCTGTGGTAGTACAGATATACATTTCACAGCAGAGTAGTTGACCACTTAGACTGAAAATAAGTTATTGTGCTTATCAGGGAGAAAGCCTGGTAGAAGAAAAGTCAGAATCAGATCAAGCTTTAGTCTGCAAGTTTGTACACTCAGGCAAGGAGTTTTACTTTTGTTCCATTTTGCATTCACTGAGGTATGAATATATAAAAAGAAAACTAAAAATATCAATTCATCCATCCTCTTAAGCCTTATTTGTCAGGATTTGGGTGGTGCTGGTGCCTATCTCCAGCAGTCTATGGGCAAAAGGCAGGTGGCCATTCCATCAAAGGCAAAAACAGAGTAACAGAAAGACAAACAACCATGCAAACTCTTAAGGACAATTTGGAGATGCCAATTAATCCAACATTCGCTTCTTCAGACTGTGGGAAGAAGCAGGAGTACCCAAAGAGAAACCTTGCATGCTGGGGGAGGCGATGCAAAGTCCATTCAGAAAGATCCCTTGCAAGGAGTCAAACCCAAGACCTTCTTGCTGCAGCAAATATATATATTACAGTCTTTTTCACAGAACAAAGACATGGTTGGATTCATGTAAATAAGCATGTTAGCATTCTTGGAACTCTGATATTAGGCAAGTACCACTCTGAAGTGCAGATCATGAGCTCAGTTAACTTAACTTGTTAAGTTAAAAGGGGGTCATGTGTGGGGTCTGCAAAGATGTTAGTTGCCCTATCCCTGACCCTGGACTTGTATAGGTGCAGGATAGAGGGATCATCAGCCCTGATGCTCATGTCTGCTGACGTGCTTGGTTCTTATTGGGACTTGTCCTTTTTTGTGGAGGAGCTGTTAATGGTAATTACTAAAATATTCCCATTGGCTTCTTGGCTGCCTTTTGGATTAATGCCTTTCTTGCATATAGTGTCGAAGGTGAACATGTCCTGGTTGGTTTAACCAGGACATGTTCAAGGTCAGCTTTGGAAAATTTGAACCTGTGTTTCAAATTTAAACTTTCTTTTTTTCCCACACCCTTTTATTTCTGACCTGTCTGTCAAACTTGTAAGTCCTTTTACATAGACCCCATTTTTTTGACTCATGATGGCAGTTGCCAGATTTTATTTTAAGAGACTCAGAGTGACAGGTGGCTGAATACTGAGACTTGTTCATTGAAGATCAAAATAAATTGTATATATAATCGACTTTGAATCATTAATGATGAATTTATAGTTTTCTCCTTTTTTTAGAGTCCCCTGAGATAATCTGGCACCATATCATCAAACTTAGTTAAACACAATAAATACAAATTCATGAAATTCACAGTTATAATTTTGAAAGTGTTGTGTTTATGTTCATTTCACTGAACTGCTACTTTTTGTTCATCAAATCATAACAAATACATAACAAGTGTGGATATGGTAAAGATTGGAAATAATAATAAATAGGGAAAATAATATTTCTTAAAGATGCAGCATTTGGCTTGAAAGAGTTTTTCTGAAATAGGAAAAATACAAGCTTCAACGTTTTTATAATACACCAACTTCATAACTATTGAGCAAATAAGGCACTGTTTCTATCTTTGGTGTTGAGGAAAGATTTCATCACATCTGCTCTGGGTTGATGATCAATAAAACTAGTAGCTCCCCTGTAAAGTTGAAATGCCTTGATTGTAAATCTTGCACACAGGAGGCCTTTTATCTATAGGCTCAGGTCTAAAGGCATGTTTTTTTCAGTATCTTCCTATTTCTAATGCATTTATGTTTAGTTCCTGATTTCTCCCTAATGGTTGCTTTTCAAGAACTATTTAGTTAATTTTCTAAGCACAAAGGATCTTTATTACAATCTTCACCAACTTGAAGATGGATGAGGCTAAGTGACTCATTCTCACCAATATTCCTTCTCCATTTGGGTGACCAGCCGCCCAGCCTCTCATCAGCAGTATGTCTCCTTATCTAATGTACTGCAAGAATGCAATTTGTAACACTCTGTCCCAGCCTCCTTTTTTTCTACTTCTCCTTCTCCTTTTGCTCTGGAGATAATGGCTTCCATACATTTTAATACTGAGCAAGTGAAAGGTGGAATAGTCTGAATAGAAAAGAGGGTAGAGAAAATCTATAGATGAGCTTCTGTTAAGTGTCTCCATATGTCCAGCAGTGAGCACCTTGGAGGAAAGAGTCTCAGCCAGTTTAGGGGAAGAGGAACTGCTTTGGCTGTTTGACTCCTTTTCCCAACGTGATAACAGACATATGATGTCTGAATCCCTCCAGCTATGTACTTGCATGTCTTCTTTATAGGCTGCTGTGCTCACAGTAATCCTATCCTATGACTCCCACTTCCAGCGTAGGGAAAATACCTCTCCTTGCTACCCATGGAAATTCTTACTAAGAGAAAAAAACAAATGACAGAATATACAGCAGCTTGCTGTTCCAGGCCATCTGAACATGTTTTAGGTCATGTAGTTTACTGGACAGGATTTTCCCATGCTCAGCATTTCATGCAAAGAGCAACTCTTGGATAGAAGTTGCAGCTTTGATTTTTTTTTAATATTCCCACTTTGTCACAGTTTTTATTTTGGATCCTGTCAAACATCTGGCAAAAAAATATCAAAGCTTTTTTTCTTGAGAATACTAAGTCGGTATCTGTGTTATTGCACTTAACTGAGTTAGATCTGGGTTAGATTAGACAGGTCCATCAGTGCAACACAATTATGCTGTTATTTGGGCGTTGTACTGAGTTTTAACATATTTACATGGTTATTTGCACATCTGTATGATAAACCTTCATGTGTTATTTTGACAGTTAGGTTCAGGCTTTGCTCTACCATTATCATTATTTGAAGGGGGTTGCTCGCCTCTCTTTTGCACATGTAGACTTGCGCTGCATCACGTATGCTTGCATGCAGGTGAATACAAACAATCCCACTTGAAGACAGATAGCACATTTAATGACAGGGTGGAGTGGCCATTAGAAAGTTTCAAAGAATCCCTAAAAGGGGGATTTTTTGAGTCGAACCAGCTGATGATCAGAGAACAGTCAGGTTCGGATCTGGCTTGAAGATTTCTTTTTAAATCTCATGTCATAGTAGCTTAATCTATTTAGCTGTAGTGGAAATAAATTGTGGTTACGCTTGTTATAAAATAAGGAACTAGCTCTTTAGCTGTTGTCTACTCTTTTGTCAAAGAGAGAAAGTCAGATGCAGCAGGTACTTAGAGATGAGCAAAGCATGAAAGCTGCAAGCCTAATGTTGTAATCAATTTCTCTCATCCACATCACAATTGATTTTGCTGTGCCCAGAGTTTGGAGGATGGATCCCGTCTTGCAGCTGTGGAAGCAGAGCTGCTCTGCTACACACTGCATATCACCTGTACAACATGCCTGTCTGGGTATTCACTGTGTATCTTGCCAAGTGTGGTTTAGTTATAGGGTTCTATGTCTGCGCAACCAGTGCTGTGGTACGTGAGGCACGTATCGACTGTATCTAGTAGCATTAATACCTAAAAAAAAAATCTATTTACAAGGGGTTTACTTCCGGCTCAGACCCACAATTCAAGTGTATTAGTCATGCTCGGGTGGATTGGGCTTCATACAGATAGGCCTGGATCAGGCTGGGCTGGGTTTTTTGGGCCTGATCTACCCACCAAGAAGTAGAGGGTCAAGTTAGCAAAGATACTTTAAAGAAAGAACAAAGAGATAGGTGGAACAGAGATGAAATAAACCCAAGAAACATTTAAATTGTTTGTCTTTATCAATGCCCAATCTTAAGTGTTTCCATTACTGCTTTTTTATTCCATACTGGCCTTTGTGGTCTACTAATCTCTGATTATACCTGCTCCTGAGCAGGGCTGAAAAAAGCCAGCTGGAGTTGGTAAGAGGGAATACATTAACCCCACTCTGGCCTCGCTCCAGTGCATTAGAGTTAATTTTAAAGTTCTGTTTATAAATGTTTCCACGGTCCAGCCCGGTCTTTTCCGGCTGTGCTGCTTCATCTGTATTCTGCTGCTCGATAGCTCAGGTCATCTGATCAGCTGCTCCGGAAGATTCTGTGATCTAGTGATACGCTCAAATTGGACAGAGCTTTTAGTTTTGTTCATAGTACCTTATGTAAATACCTCCCTACCAGGTGTGACATCACACATGCCCCTTCACCGTCCACCTCTAAAACTTTTATAAAAATGCATCTCTGATTTTTGTTTTATGTGATTGTTGTTTCACTTATTTTAGTCATTCTCTAGTGTCGTTTTCTTATCCTTTGTTTGGAGTGTTTCTATATTTTACATGTGCCACTCTGTTGCAGCTGTGGTTGTTATAAAGTCTTTTATCAATATTATCAAGTTGAAGTAATAATATTTGCTGCTGTGCATCAAATCCCTTGTCTTGATGCTGGCATCTCTAAATTTTGGTATGAAGCATTTTAAGGAACAAAACATGATACATGAGTAGCTTTGCCTGAATGGCTCACTTACTGGGCTTCTCTCCTCAAACCCAGCGGGACCTCAAAGCTTAGAACGCATACGGTTGACCAAGAATACCATGCATCTGACATGTGGTTATCAGCCCCTCTTTTCCTAGAGTTCTTACAAATCTACTACAAGATCATCTTCACCATGTGTCCTCCTCAGCCATACTTTTCTTTTTTTTTGCAGGGTCCCCCCGGTCCTCATGGAAATCCTGGCCGTTCTGGGACACCTGGAGTGAAGGTAAAGACTTGATATTTCATCACATTACACTAACAGAATATTTGTGACATATGGGTATAAATGAAAGATAACTTATCATGATGGGGTTTTTTATGTTAAAAAAGCTCTGAAGTTTAACAGGGGTGTAAAAACTTTTTGGTGTGCCTGTACTTTTGATTTATCCCTGCGCTACAAAAATAATCTACGTAGTGTCACAATGGGGTGGAGGTTTTGAGGACCCAACTGCAGAGACGAGGAGGCTGAGGTGAATGTTGTAGGTTTAATGAGTAACTGAGGCAAAATCGAAAAATAAAAAGAAACATATGATCAGAAAAACATTAAGGGAAACTCAAAGGGGGAGCCAGAGATGAGGAAGCAAGGAACCAGCACTGAGTGACTGCAGTGGAGTATATAAGGGGAACAGAACAAAGGATGGGCTAATGAGCTGAATATGGAGCAGGTGTGAGGGGAGCTAACTAGAAGGAAGCCAATGGGAAAGGAAACAAGCACAAGAGGGCAACAGAGAGTAACTAAAGACTGCTTGACTGTAATTGAAAACAAACCAAAGATCATCAAAACAGAACAACTAATAACTGAAACCTAAAAACTCAGAGTCCCAAATGGGGACAACCATAACATTAAGTTTGTCTTAGTGCAAGGCCAGTTTACTGTATTTTATCTGGAGGCTCTGAAAATCCAAGTTCAATGTAAAGTTTGTGTTTAGAAATGCGATTCTAGAAAATGCAAATAGCCAATTGACTGGCAAAGGTTTTATTGTGTGTAAAGATCTAATGGTTCACACTGGCGTGGTTCCAACCTTACAATAAATTATACCACACCTTACTTTTGCAAGTTCGTTGCAAGTTTTGCTTGTTCTTTTGAGCATATGTTATGGTTTTGTTTAATCCAAATGTATGCATGTATGCATTTTCCGTCTTGTACCTCAACCTTAGTTTGGTCTCTTTGTTAGCTGCTATTGCCCTTAGAGTTTATCACTACCATATCTTGCTCCTAACTCATCTCTGTTCCTCCTGAGATTCTTTCATAGCAACTCAAACGCGTTACCCCGCTTGTCTCTATTCCCTGTCAGATTCTTATTCTCACTCGCATCTGCCTGCCATATTGAGGACAATTGTGTTCTTCATCGATCTTGTTAGTTATGAAACTTTGCAGTTCAGGTCTTCATCTAAATGTTCAGTTTAGCTTTAATGTGGAAACACAAAGCATGCTAAAAGGGTTAAGCAAAGAACTTCATTCAAACTGCAGGTTAGGGCCTATAGAAATATCCCTGTTCTTACTGCAGGAAAGGAATAGTGGTAGTCAGTTGGGATTTAACACACCCCTTCAAAACTACCGCCATGACTGAAAAGGATGGACAAGAAGCTTTATTCCACCTCTTAAGTGAGGCTTTTTGGAGCCAAGTGGGCCAAAACCTTATTAGTTTGAGCTGCTTTCATCAAACGCTCATTCAGCACTGCCTGACGGCGGTGACGCTGAGGCACTGGAGGACAGCATGACTTATTATGGAGGCTTATGTCTGAGCTAGATGTATTTATACCCAAATGCTGGCCTCTACCTCTGACATAGGTGTAAATCCCAAATACGTTTTAAATCAATAGGAACAGTCAAATGTACTATCTATACTAACCAACTGCCTTCACAGCACTGAGGTGCCTTTGTGATTATTACTAAAAGAACTAAAATATCTCAAATGAAAATCTAAAAGAACTCACACTACTATCAACAAAAGCCCCCAACGGCCCAGTTTATTTTGTTACATGCAAAAATTGAATTTTTGGGGTGAGTTATGCTTTAAGTACAAAGGTAAAAACTGTTTTTGAAACAACACAAAACATAAAACAGGAGCTCCACCTTTTAGTTTGGCACAAAAACAGCACATTTACCTTGCATTATTCTTGGAGCTGACAACATTGGACAGTTCTCTTAAATACAGACATGGATGGAGAACGTCTTGGACTCCAAGTCCATTCCATTGTCTTCCCAAACTCCTGTCTACAAGTTGCCTTTGTTTTTTTTCTCTAATAAACTTCCTATCCGACAGCTTCTCTCCACGCTCTTGATTTTCCCTCTACTATATCATGTCCTCATCAATACGCATAGAAGTAATGAGCCCATTTTATGAAAGTAAGGAGTAGACAGACATTTCTGTTTAAATGTAAAAATTTAAAGAGTCTTAAAAAAATGAGATTTCTATTAAATTTAGGCTAAAGTTTTTTCTCTGTTTTAATAAAACATTAACTTATTATTATTTGAATCATTACATTTTGTATTGAGCTTGCAGTGAATTGCATGTGGACAAAGCTCACAAAAAAGTTGTTCCCTTGCTTCAAAACTGCAATTTTCTTTTACATTTTAAAATATAAGCTTTATGTAACTGTATCTTCTGCACAGAGAGCAGCCAAGGGATATCTGTGCACAGTGTATAGAAGGTCAGATGATGCACACAGAAAGGAAACACCTTGACTTGAAGAGTATTCAAAACCTGGGAGCACATCAGAATATATTTTCCCTAGAGGGAATTCATATTTTGTAGCAGAAGCTTTAATTCTAAATTAGGCACTCTAATTAAACATTTGCTGTGCCGATGTTTACAATGAAATACCTGACAGTGCACTTCAGAGATTTTTTTCCAGTTCTGTCTTACATAATCTTTGCTATGGTGGGAGAAACAGATTGGTCTTTCTGCTTTGTGACAGATTTGAGATTAAGAAATTGATATGTTTATTTATTTCTATCTTTCCATGCGCCTACCTACTTCAATGCCTTGTTCTTTTTTATCTTGTAAAATGACTAAGAAAATTGTCTGTCAGCATCATGTCATTTTTATTTATAAATGGATTATAGGCTCCAATTAGAAGCGACTAATCCCTTAGATCAACTTTAAAATACAAACTGCTACAGTGCCTCAAAAATATATAGGGATTTTATAGAGTTATTATAGAATATAGTACTGCAGTTTAAAAAGCTATTTGTAATGGATTAGTTTTTAATGAGGGCAGTGAAGGTTTGTTACAACCAAAAAAAATGTTATATAAAATTTTTTACCGTTAGATTCTATAATTTATTTGCACATTTGCATATCCAGAATAAATAACTATTATAAGCAAGATTTTATAAATACAAGAATTAATGAAGCAACTTCCTTGTGCTTTGCTTCTTCTCATCGTTCTGTGTTTATGTGAGATTTTTTTGTTTACTTTCTGTTCCTGTGGTCAAAACCTCTTGACGTTTTCTGCTCTTTTAAAATGTCTTTTTTTTCCTTACTTTATTTCTATTTGATTATCAAGAGATTACACCACGTTATTGACAATTTTTTACTTTAATAATAACTTGTATAATTTCTGAGACTTCAAAAACATCCCTTGTTTCCTTTAGATAAAAAAAAAAAAAAAAATGTTTTTATTTGTTCTGTCAAAATAATTTGAAAGATCTAAACTTGGTCTGTGTTATTGCTGAGCACTTCTGTCAACAAGTAAATATTTTTAGCTCCATCATATTTTAGCCTGCATAAAAAAAGGAAATCTGCTTTTGGAAGCTTGTATATACACTGACTCTGATCAGTACATTTCTGCTTTTAATTTTTTTCTACAACATTGAAAAATAAAACTGGAAGCCGATTTGGTATTACTTAAACTGGACAAGCTGCTATTTTTCACATGTGCATTTGCTTAGAGCCAGGATGAAAACCTTGGGTTTAGCTTGTCCCGTTTGCATGCAAAGCTTGAACTGCAAAATGTCTTCTTGGATACATGGCTCTGTCTTTATAAACCCACAAAAAAAAGTATATAGTGAGTTGAACTTTAACCCTGAACTTTATCTTCCAGTTGTCACTCTAAATTCCATGTAATTATGAAAGACAAGGTCATGTTCAGTAATCTGCTTCTATAATTAAAATGACTTTAAAATTATAGTCCTGTGTATTCAGACCTTGGGTTGTTACCATGAGCCTCTTAGGAAAAAATGCTCTTACTGCAAGGTGTAGCTTAGGTGGAAGGCTATGACTTGCAGTTGAGCCTTATTTTTTTTTTTCCGTCTTTAAATAATAGTAAAATAATAAAATAATGCTGCATGAAAAACAGCATTCAGTAATGTTTTTGCCACAACCTAATCCTGCTTTGAATTGAATGTTATCCAGTGCTTGGTTGTTGTAGTTCATGGTGTTTACAATGCTGTTTGTTCTAAAATATTCTTTTGGAAACTAATGGGCTCTTTACAGCTGAGCTGTGTTTAAGTTTGAAACAAAGTTACACACAAGATAAGCCTTTTTAACTAAGCAGGCACCTTCTAATCATAAGTCATGAAATGCACAGTTGGATTTTTCTACACAACAAGCCATTTCTGGTGATAAGGCATTTCTTTAGGAAGATTAAACAGTCTGAGACTTCTTGCAGGTCAAATCCATATTTATGAACCAAATGATCACTCCCTGCATCACATCACCACTCACTGATTGGAGGAAGTTGGCATGTTGTTGTTTGTCTCAATTCATGAAGAATACTCAGACATACTAAATCAAGATAAAAGAATAACATTATAACATAGTTACGTTTTCAGAAAGGTGAATTTTGTTTTTTTAAATTTATGAAAATTCATTGCTACTTTGCATTGTATTTTTATGCACAATTGCCATATAATTAAATTAGTTACTTAGACTTAGACAAAGTTTATTGTCATCTTGCATTCACAGAGTGTATACAAAGCGAAATTTTGATGCATACAGCTTGTCAACTAACACTGTAATTTGACAAAAAAATGTAATAAGTTTTCCATCCATCCATCCAATACTTATCCCAAGCGGGGTCACGAGGGGTGCTGGTGCCTATCTCCAGCTGTCTGTGGGCGCACAGGGGTACCCAGAGAGAACCAACGCATGCTCAGGGTTAACATGTAAACTCTATGCAGAAAGATCCCGGGCCGGGAATCGAACCTGGAACCCTGTTACTGCAAGGCAGCCTGGAATAAGTTGTATAAATGTATAAATGCACTGTAAAAATTAATTGAATATTTACATTAACCAAGGCTGAAATACAGGTTATGTTCAGGAAAAAGAATAAAATTTTAGATGGGATATTAGGGTTCAATACATAAGACATTCAAATCTATCTTACATTTTTCCAATTTTGTTTTTGTTAAAACTTGGCATTTAAATTTTTTTATGAGATTTAATGTGTTAGGTATGTATAAAGTGGAAGGAGAGTTTTTCTCATATGTCCCATATGAAACCTCACTATGAAACCTGAAAAGTTACACTAATGAGAATCTAGGAAAGTAGTTTGTTATATTGTGCTTTTCATGGCGAACATGTAAAGGCAGTTGAGAATTGGAGCATTTTTCCAAGTATTTTAGTATTGTTTTTGTTGACAAAAATATAAACCATTTATTATTTTTCTTGTACTTAGCAGCTACATAATAGCATGGGCCATTTTGATTCGATTTTGTAAAAAATCCCACAGTAAAACCCTGACATCGGTAATTTTAGCTCTACAGAATGTGAAAACATTCAAGGGGTGTACATACTTTTGCAAGGCACTCTCATGTGTGATTGCTTTGCCTGGTCTGTGAACATATTTCCACAAAGACAGCTGCATGACACAAATGTAGGCACATTTAGATGGGCTTATTTGCTGTAAATCGCCATGTTTGCATTCATTTTATCAGCTAAAGATGACCCACTGATGACCGACTTTAACTGCAGGTCTGTGTGAAATTCATCACAGTACAGGATGATGAATTTCACCCCTACTCCCCCAGTTTATCACATAAACTGTACCAGAACATCTGCAGTCAGTTGTGTGATTTCAGTCCAGCTAACTCACTCCTGTAATATTTTATTCATGTTTCTGTGTGAGATAAGCACCCATACAGGAAATGATCTAGTCCTCCTCTGAGCTGTTGTGTTGTAATTGCCCAGATTAAAAAGTGTGTCCTTCCAGAGAAACACTGGACCTTAACGCTGACCCAGACTGCTTGAACATCATTCTCACTGCCCGAAAAGGGAGAAGAATGTAGACAATTACTCCCCATCACTTCTTGCTGGCTTGTTGTAAACTGAGTTACGGGAAGGGATAAACTGACTGCTCATTTGTGTAAATACAACCTCAGGACTCCCCCAATGAATGGAATGGACTTATCACTCTATAATTGTGTAAATAGGATGTAAACAGCAAGCTTTATGTTCCTTGTCTGAAGAAATTATTTTTTTTTTTGCTCTTAGAAATCTCAATCAACACTGGCTGCTGTTTTAATAATTTTTTCCCCACATTTTGAAAACAAATGTATTCAGATTTTTTCCACTTTGTAGGGACAAAAAGGAGATCCTGGGATGTCGCCTGGTCAAGCACTGAAAGGACAAGAAGTAAGCATCAGTATCATCTTAAAAAAGCTTATTTGATATAGCTCTGTCACATTCTGGGTTGGTTTAACATGAGTGATTGATTTCTTCAGGGAGAAACTGGCATTATTGGGCCTCCTGGGCCACATGGGCAAGATGGACGAAAGGTAAGAAAAAAAAAAAGTTAACTAATCTTAACCTCAACCGGCATTTCACTGAGCGAGAGGGCAACGATTTGCTTGACCAGAGAGTTAAAGGGTTACATTTATGATAGATTTCTTACAATCTATCATTTGAATTTCTGTCAAAGATGTCGAACATGCAATGTCAAACTGTGGAGTTCAGAGGTTTTGTTTAGCCTGTGTGGCAGCTGAAGAAACATAACATGAAGGTTCACCCTTGTAAAGAGTTCAAACAGGATTTGTGATGTCACTTCTAATTTTACGGGCTGTCCTCTGAGTAGTAGGAACAGTTTGGAACAGGTTTAGGTTGTTTGATGTGATCCTGCTGATGATGTAAAATACTTTTTTTTTTCTGCATATTGCTTTGCTAGATGTTGTTGCTGATTGACAGTTTCCAGCAGTGTTTTCTCCAGGGACTTGTTCATTTTATTTCTGGCCATTTCCCAAGCCCTCGCATTTATTACTAATGTCAGTAGGGGAGATGCCTGTTGGATTTTCTACCATGCATTGAAGGAAAAACAAAAGTTTTCTCTTTCATTTATATACTAATTGGATTGGTCTAGCGAAATGTTCTTTTTTTTTGCTTAACTTTCTATAGAATGGTTTCATACTTCGACTTAGACAAAACCTTTTACATTTTGTGTACACAGAGTGTATAGTAAATCAAATTTCTATACATAAAGCTTTTTGACAGTGAATGAGCAGCTTAGCAGCGAAATGGAAAATTCCATTTATGAAGTGCAGCAGTGATCAAAATGTAAACAGTGTAGGAGAGACATGATGCAAAAGGTGTTGCACCATGTTCAAGTTCATACTGAAGTAAAAAAAAAGGATAGCTAGATCATCCCAGTAGCTTAATGTTAAATCCATTTTTATTTCTACAGCACATTTAAGGCCTGGTTGTCAAAGATTGCACATAAGTGATGCTAAATTGCATGTTTAATCGAGCTTTTTTACGGCATGCAAAAAGTGTTTTTTAAGTGCATGCAAAAGGTGTGTAGAGGTTGAGCTACAAAGATTCCTGTGAAAATGTTTAAACATGCAAAAGGTTTTTTTTCTACCCATTGAAATGAGTAGATTGCATTTTCTAAAAGCAGAGGTGCCAAGTAACAAAGTACAAATACTTTTTACGTATCTATACTTTACTCCAGTACTTATTTTTCTTCCTATTCTGTCTTCTACTCATTATATTTTCACACAAGTAGCTGTACTTTCAAATCCTTATATTTTTAAAACAAACGTTACTCGTTATTTTTGGCTTCGGTTTAATGTTTATGAATATTTATTTCACGTCATGTGCGCCATCCAATGCAGAGCATTGGCGCCATCCACATCTAGTGTAAACTAGTGTAATTGGATGAGTCATAACGCAAACTCTCATTGGTTAGCTAAAGGAAATCATCAGAAGCAAGCAGGTGTTCTTCAAACTGCAAACGCAAAATGTCTATGCCATGCTACAATGACGGATTCAGAAAAAGATGTTGAAATGTCTGAAAGGTCAAAACAGGTGAGAGCGTATCGGGAGATGGAGACCAACAAGACCTCCCTCATCCTTGGCCCTATCTCAAAGAATTTTTCGAAATACTTTTAAAATCGAGCTTTAAATTCATATAGTGGCATCTTGCTTTTACTTTTAAAGGTAACTTTATACTTTAAGTAGTTTTTGGAGCACATACTTTTTCACATTTACTTGAGTAAAGAGGTCAAGTTGATACTTCAACTTTTACCAGAGTGTTTTTAAACTGCAGTATCGATAATTGTACTCAAGTAACAAATGTGTGTATTTTTGACACCACTGTCTAAAAGCAGTTTGAGAGTAGCCACAAAAGAAGGATGAGGTTCAAAATCCTTGAGATAAGGTTTATAAAGATAACCTTATACTAATAAAAATCATAATATATATATATATATAATTTGATATATATATTTATAGATCACATGAAAGAGGTAGCCTATCTTAAAGTCCGACAACAGAAATTAAAATTAATTCATAACTAACCCGAACACATATGATAAGGAAATTGATAACATTCAAGTTAAATATAAAAAATATATTAAATAGATTGTTTTTTTGTCTGCTGATTGGCATAAGACCTGACAGTTATGCTTTACTTAATCTGGGACCTTCTAAAGATCAGGACCTAAAACAGGATAAAGTTTTTTAAAGTGCAAGAGAGTTAAAATGAACAAAATACTTGGTGCGAACAAATGCATAAGATAAAGTTGGCTAAAACAAACTTAAAAAAGGGACTATAAATACATAAAGCCTAGTAGGAGTCAATGATATAATAAGTCACATGAAACGTTGATTTTAAAAGGAGGGTGAGGTTGCTGGAAGGATTTAAGAGACTGGTTTGACTTTGCAGGGGGAATATCAATTTACAGGTTGTTTCAGAGTCTATTGGGCCTCTGCTGCAAAAGCCCGATCCCCTCTGTGCTTACATTTAGATTTCAGCTACAGTGAGAACATCTGGCTGGATGAGCTTAATGCTCTTGTGGCTCATACAGGTCAAGCAGCTGGGCCAAAGTTGCCAAACTAACTTAAAAAATGTTTTTAAGGTAAGTATAAACCACCATAAAATTAAGGTTGAAATCTGTGTGATTTCATTTTCAAATTCAGTTTTAATTTGGAAAAGCAAGAGCTGAATTTTTGCAACTGTAATTCTTTGCTTTCCCGACTGCCAGTATTCTAATTCTTAATTACTTCTATACAAGAATGAATTTATCCAAAATGTCCCCAGTTTATCACCGTATTTTTTTCATGTCCTGTTCTCATTCAGTGTTATAACAACAGGTCTTTAAAGTCTTACATTTAGGCAGTTAATTGGCCCCCCAAACAAAACAAAACCCTTAATTATTAAATAAACCCCTTAACATAACAGGGTACTATAATGCTTTTATTTTTTTCGACTTAAATTATTTAAAACAAGACAAAGTATCTTTACTGTGTTTCAGATTAACATATATCTCTTTTTTTTGCACATGCTTTTGGTCTCAGTATTTTCTTTTTTCAGGTTATTCAAAGGCACAGAAAGTTCCTATAAAGTTGAATAGGGCTGCATTTCCAGTTAACAGATTAAACCTCAAGAATTTGCTTTGCAGCTGTCCAAGCACCAAGTAAATATTTGACACACTTCCACCTAAAAGACCTGTTACATTACACTGTAAAATAAAAATAAAAAAAATTAACAATAATCATTGTTTTGTACACATATTTCTTACTTTTTGTTTAAGAATAAAAATGTATTGTGGACAAGCAAGATTTGCATCAGAAAACTTAGCTCATTTTAGGACTTAATAAGATAACATCTTAATAAGATGCTTTGGATTATCTTAAGGGAATAACAATGGTTTCTTTAAAATTCCAGAGTACACTTTTCCTAATTTAAGATGGAGGCAACTTAAACAACTTGTAATAGACATAACAAGTACATTTGTCAATGTTGAAGAATATTTGGTCCAATTTGGTTTCAACAAATGTTTTTTGTTTTTTTTTCACTGCTGTGAAAGACAACAAAGCCAGAAAGATACTAAGTAAATCATATTGTTTGATTGTTAATAATTTAATAATAATTTAGGTAATTTTGATTAATTTCTTTACAGGGAAAGACAGGACTGCTCTTTATGCTTTCCGGCTCTTTTTATCCAAATTTAACAGTTTTTTCTTGCTTGATTTTTAGACAGAATTTATCATTTATAAGCACTGCAGTTTAAACACTGCAGTGGGAGCTTGCTCCTTTTGTAGATCTTCATTGTTATATTGGAAAAGCCTTAATTTTTTATTTTTTTTACTAACATTCTTTTAATTCTTTCTATGTCCTGTTTTACTTACTTTATCTCATAAACTTTTTGAAGGCCTAGAACTATTTAGGCAGTTAGGGTTCTTAGCCAGTAGACTCAAGAATGAAATAAAGAGTTTGTTACAATACATAATACAATACAATACATAGTGGTATTAGCTTGCAAGAATTCATCTTTGCACATAATATGAGAGGGAATAATTTCAGTTGAGGGGAATGCTGATGTCTGGAAAAACAGCATAAAAGATTATTGGAAAAGTTAACTTCTTTTTAATTGTGGTTTAGTTTCTGTCAGAAACTACCCTGGAGAAGACAGACGCAAATAATAAAAAAGGGTTATTGTGGGGTGAGGAATTTGGTTGCTGTATTGTGCTAATTAAAACAAAAAGACTGGCAAGATGAGAAAACCTTTGTCATTAACTTACTTTTTTCACAGAGAAACTTTCTCTAAGTACAAGTAATGCTAATGTTCTTCATCAAATATGTTTATATATCTAAACATAGATTGATGAGGAATGGTTTATATTCTCCTGGTTGCAGTTCTGCATTAGCTTGCAAGAATTCATCTTTGCACAAGAACTAGCTGACAGCCATTCAGAGTATTACAACACAGTGTCTTTTCCAGCTAATTAAAACAAAGCAGATCCACTCCGTGCTGTGCAAGGCCATCAGGTATCTCCTTCCTTGCAGCTGTTTTCGTTCTCAGTATTTTCTGTATTTAATCATTCTCAAGCACAGACAGTCCCCTATAAAATATTGCTGAAAACCCAAAAGATGCAGTTAAAACTCAAGCATATGCTTTCTAGCTGTCCAAGCAGCCAGTAAAACTTTGACCTACTGCAGCTTGATAGACCTCTTATGCTGAGTTTTCCTCTCAGAAATGGGCTCAGTGCCAGGACAAGTCTAATAGGCAGAGACTTG